CTCCCCCTGCCTAACCTCGGCGGCACTGCATGGCACGGCACGGCACTGCACAACACTGCACAGCACTGCGTGGCATTGCACGGCCCTGCAAAGCATTGCACAGCATGGCATTGCACAGCACTGCACGGCACTGCAAAGCATTGCACAGCATGGCATTGCACAGCACTGCACGGCATTGCACGGCACGGCACTGCACAGCACCATACAGCGCTGCTGTGGACGAGGACGTTGCGGCCACGCAGGGACCAAAGCTGGCGGCGTCTGGCAGGTGGGCCAAGAGCGAGGCCGAAGGATGCCACAGACCCTGCCGAGGAAGCTGCTCACACCCGGGCGTGCTGACACCAACTACCCCAATATCCTTCCAGGCTCCATCCTCATCCCCGCGGTGGCTTCTTCATGTTGCTCCAGCACAGAGCGAGCAGTGTAGCAAATATCCCAGGAAAAGGAGCTGGAGCAGCTCACGCCGAGGCCTGACAAGGCAGCAGAGCCAAGACCAGCTGCTGTTACCTACTTGCCTTTTGGCTTACAAACTAACCCTTTAGAGAGCCTAAAATTCAAGTCAAGACTCATGCAATGAAAGATCATTTTGGGGAAAATATTAATAATCTGTCTATATCTATAGCATCCAGAGATCCAGTTTTGGACAAGATAGAGCGTGTTCGGCAGAGATCAGCACCAGAAGAATAAGGGACATGACAATGAGCTGTGCCAGCATTTCCTAGGAAAAAAAGCAAGACACCCACACCCAAGCAAGACTAAATCCAGAAAATACTGTTCCTAGATTAGGCTTTGCTATCCCAATAGAAATAGCTACAGTAGTGTAGTATAACCAGCCTCTTGGAAGATTTTAATTTACAATTGTGTCAGAACTGCCTAGCACTGGATTTACGGGGAAAGCTTACCCTTCCCGCAGCCACACTGCATCACTGTCACCTGCAACAGACACAGCCCAAAACCAAAGAGGCAGTAGATGACTTTTGGCAGCAATTTCTTTAGGCATTAGTCTTTTTTATGTGTGTGTTGCTGAGCATTGTCATCTTCAAACCCTGCTCCCAGCCATTTCCCAGCCCCCTAAGGAGAAGTGAGGACAGGACCACGCAACTCGGAACTCATGGAAAAGAGCATTAATGTAAGAGCCACGCGGTTGAGGGGTGGGTGAGAAAACAGAGCTTGGTACAGGCCTAAGGTGTGGGTTCAAGATTCATAAAGCAGAAGTTACCACTGAATACGCTCAGCAGAAAGGGGAGTGAAGGCGCCAGCTGTGGGAAGAGCCTCCTGAAGCAAAGGTAAGTGGTTTTCAGGGCCTGCGAGTTTCTAAGCTCCTCCTTCAGCAGAAGCAGGATTTTCAGGTTCTAGCACACACAAGGAGGGCATTAGAAAACAGCAGGAGGCGGTTATTTCTAGTGCCACACAGCATTTTTGCTCTGGGACAGCTTCAGTTGTCTGGTTCTCATCTGCTCTGGCCACGCACGTAGCTGTTGCATCTGCAGGAGTTTCTATTGCATCAGCCTGTTGTCCCATTTACTCGTATCTGTTTATACTTTACGTTAACAAGCATTTCAATATTTAATTGGCATAGTAACTAGCTACACACTGGCCTGGGAAAAGGGATTGCAGAGTTGTGGCCTGCATCTCAAGGGAACACGCTGGTATCCAAACCACTGCTCAAGTGACTAAGACGCTGAAGACAAGGAGCTTCATAAAAAGACAGACAGTGTCAGGGAAAAGACAGCACTTGAGCAAGAATTTCCTAGGAGTGCTATTTCTGTCCTTTCCTAAGATACAGATCAGCAAAAAAAAAAAAAAAAAAGAAGAAGAAGAAGAAAATCAAGCCTAAAAATATTTGGAAACCTGAGCATCCATTTCTTTGCCTTACTGTGGGACAGCTAAGCTATCTCCTCCCAAAGCCCTGGTGCGCTCAAGGCAAGACTAAACGGATTCCTTCACCTCTGCCAGGAGGCTTTGCTTTGGGACACTTTTTCTTCTGATGTTTGTTTTCCAGAAAGATGAGGTAGCACCTATAAAGGTCCCTTCTCCCTACCTGATGATGACTCCCGTTGGGCACCGATGAATCAAGAACACTTATGGAGCTGGCCCGGCCTACAGAAGTCAGCATCATAGCACAGTCCAAATGCAAAACTCGTCTTCTCTCCATCAACAGGACCTTCACATGAAGAACTAGCAAAGGCGTCCAGCTACTTTTCTGCAAGGTGAAATGAGGTCATTGCTATTTTTACACAATGTGACATCAGGGAGAGTGGAAGGATCCAGACAGAGGCAGTTACAGAGGACGCACACTTACCCGATCCAGAAGCAACGCTTCACAGATTGGACATTCCTCCATCTCTCTCAAAGAATAAGTTCCTGAAAGGAAAAGAAATTTCTTCCCTCAGCCAAGCACAGCCCCCTGGTGAGGTGAAAAATTAGTTAATTGACTTAATCACTCATCTAGAGGCACCATTTGCACAGGGAGTGAGATACACTGAACTGCAAGCAAGCACTCAAAAGGCTTTCATATAAATGATAATTTTATTGTAAATAAAACGATACATTGGCCTGGCTTTGCACTGCAAGCCCCCGGTCGGTATATATAGACTACTGGTTCAAGGTCTTCTGCACAATCCAGGTTACAGCAATTTCTCCCTGCTCTGCTCAGCTTATGCCAGACTCATACCCACAGATAACAAGCTCCTCCTTTTCGGAACCGTCTCGTAGGCACAGCTATTTTTCCAACTGGGAAATTCAGAGCTCCTTGGTGAAATCTGCTCCTAAGCAAGTCTGGGGTTTAAAGAGCTGAAGCCCAAACACCACTAAAACACAGAGGACACCCATGTTTATCCAAAAAATAAAGACACAGGCTGCAGCCTCCCAGCTCCAAGGGCAGGTACCAAGGCTTTTGCCTACCAGGGAGAGCTCATACAGCAGGATTTATATTTACTGAGGTTTCACAAGTTATCTCGGCTCTCTTGGCACTTGGAAATAACGTGTGTCACCTGAGCAGGTACCAGTTTCCCTCTGAATCGATTTGTTTTGGTAACTAATGGCAAAGGGAACTGTTTGCAGCATATTTGAGTCCTTTGGAATACTACCCCAAAATGTGTGTGGGAAAAAAACCAAAACAATAAAAAAACACAAAGATAAATTGCTGCAAGTTACAGCAACTACAACAAGAAAAGAGCAGATTTCCTGGAGAACAAGCAAATAACCTGGAATGCCCAGAATCGTCACCCCAAGCCCAAAATGCAAGCAGTTTG